TACATGTTTATTCAGAGAAAGTACGTTTTTGTGTCTGATTTCGTAACTTAATTAATAGTTAGCACTAATTAATTAGCATATTTGAAGTCACCCCCGGAAACCATTAAGATTGACACTTAGATCGTGAAAATCCGATCATTAGAACAAAAGTTATTCAGGGTGATATCTTTTTTTTTTTGCTGACTGTACCACTGGATGGCAACTTCTCTAGTTTTTAATTTTTCTGCTCTGATGTGAAATAAATATATAGTTCTAGTGCGTAAATTTTTATCTATTTATACGTAAATATAAGAGAAGGTTTTATCTTTACCCCACATTGATGACCCGAGCGTGATGACAAAACGTCTACCTTGACAGAAACTCCCACTTTGATGGATGGTCCAATTGACTTGCTACTTGTGACTGCGGCATTATCCACCTTCTCGCGCTGTTGCTACTCAGTCTCGATCACACACGTCAACCTTTATACACTTGACTGCTAATGCAACACAGGAGTGACCTTGACCGTGAACTTAATACAGCTCTCCCGGCTTCTCACAAAGCAGTAATGTAATCAACTAGTGGTGTTCGTTTGTCGAATTCTATCACATACATAATTCTGGTGGGGGAGTACTGTAGTGTTTTTCTACCACTACAAAAATACAATTCCAATTTACTAGTATATAAGACATGCTAACTCGATTCTATGGAGGGGTACCTTTTCATTAGATGAAGGTTGACATAGTCTACTCTTCCCACATTGGTGACCTGGACGTGATAGCTACTTGTGAATGCGACATTGTCCTCCTCCTCATGCTGTTGCTTCTCAGTCTCGATCACACACAACGTACAACGTATTCACTCGACTGCTAATGGCAACACAGGAGCGACCACGACCATGAACTTAATACAGCTCTCACGATCAGCACTGAAAAAAGTACGGTGGTCTTAATACAGCTCTCCCGGCTTCTCACAAGATAGCAATGAATCCACTAGTGGTGTTCGTTTGTCGAATTCTATCACAGACATAATTCTGGTGGGGGAGTACTGTAGTATTTTTCTACCACTACAAAAATATAATACCAATTCACTAGTAGGAAAATATTTACCCCGACCCGCCCCAATTCAGAGCATACGGGAAAATGTTTATTAGTATATATTAAACTAGTATATAAGACATGTTAACTCGATATATAAGACATGTATATAAGACAATATATAAGACATGTTAACTCGATTCTATGGAGGGTTACCTTTTCATAGATAAAGGTTGACATTGTCGTTAACTACTATCCCCACATTGGTGACCCGGACGTGATGTCCGTGTCACCATAATCATGTGTATAATGTAACAAAATTCAGAAAATCAAATAATGTTTATTTTCATTGCAGGACCGCCTGTTAAATCGATCCCCTTAACAGGCTGGAGAAACAGGCTAGCCCAACAAGGATATGTGGCAACAACGACAAAGAACAGATGCCTACCCGAAAGAAAATGGCATTACTTGGACTTTGATGAGGTGGAAGAGGAAGATGAAGATTATGTGTACTGTACCAGTTGTGGTACAAGTGAGGAGAGTGGTGATCAGAGGGAGAGTGTCATATCTCGTACCAAAAGGATGAAGTTGCACAAACTGTCTTATACACAGTCCCTTATAGAAACTGCAATCCAGGTAAAATTATCCAATCGCTTTCTAATCATTTGCATTGTCTTTATGTTTTATTGCAAGTTAGGCTCAACGTGCACAAACGTGAGTGTAGATAGTGTTTACGTTTAGATTAATTTTTGCCAAGACAGTACGTCAGAGTCGCGATGGCTCAGGGGATAGAGCGTTCGCCTTCCAATGAGGCGAACCGGATTCGAATCCCAGTCGATACGAATTCCGCATCCCTTTTAAATTGTCAATAAATGCTCGATTTGGTGAAAAACCCAGAATAAAGTCTCACAATTGCTTGGGTTATTCAGAGAGAGAGAGAGAGACAGCACAGTTTTTATTGCACTTCTTTTGAACTTTCATCTCGACGAACACCATAATTCGGTTCATTTTATTCTTCAGTTTCATCTTATGTATATGTTACTGTGATTGACCGAAATGGGTGATTGTTGACCCAGGAGTTTCCCTGTCTTCTGGATTGGGTTCAACATGACAAGGCTACCGAGTTAAACATTTGTAGTCACGAACCCAAAAGTTGGGTCGACAGTTCAACGACGGATATAAAATAAAACCACATAGTCGAGGGTCTATCCACATAGGGGATAGAGCATTCGCCTTCCAATAAGGCGAACTGGGTTCGAATCCCAGTCGATACGAATCCCGCATCCGACTTGCACCGACTACAGTGCAGACATGAAATATCCTCAGAGGTAGACGGATCACGGGTTAGAGTCCGCTTGCCGTGAGGCTAACCGTGGGAGGTTCTCGTGATCTACCTCTTCGTGTAACGCAAATGCGGAGTAGCTCCATCAAAAAGTCCTCCACGAAGGCAAAAAATGCTCCCAATACTTGATCAAGGAGTTCCCTTGTCTTCTGGATTGTGTTTAAAATTGAAAGGCTACGGGAGTTGAACATAAGTAGTCGTAAACCCATAAAAGTGGGTTGGCTGTTCAACGACGGTTATATATAAAAAATTTAAAAAAAAAATAGTACGTCAAGTATGCACATTCGATGTATTTACTATGACACTTTTTACCCTTTGCACTCAAATAGTATCACTCAGTTGGCGTATACATAGATTTTATTATCTTTAAATTATAATGCATATTTAGTCACCTTTTTTTTTCATGGCTGTTCGCTAGGCACTTATCGGTAACAGCAGTGTTTCCCAAACTTACGACTTTTGTGTACCCTTTCTAATTTTTTCGCAACGCTGTGCACCACTTATACCAAAATGAATGCATTTTTTACTATAAAAAATGCGCACAAAAGTTAAAAATCACAACTGGCTGTTGATGCCACTCTTTATTAACAATTAATTCTGCAAAAAATAGCCTGTAGAAAAATAGGTAATCGTAAATTCATGGCTAGCTTTGTTTTTAAATAAAATGGTTCGAAATTTTCCTTTGTTGGAAGATATTTCGCATAAGAACGCGTACACCGCTAAACTGTTCCCGTACCCCCGGGGGTACGCGTCCCACACTTTGGGAAACACTGGGTTACGGGGACCCCGTGTTGGCGACTGTGTTTCTTAGTGGTCGCCAACACGAACATTATCTTTTATGAACAATGAATTCTGAATTTTAAAATCACGGTGTATTGTCAAAAATATCAGTATAGGACACTATAGCGCGATTTTTTTTTAATTTAAATAATTTATTTTACTTTTACGATGGTTAATATTTTCCCAAACTAAACAAAATGTATCAACCCTCTCAATAATTGTTGTTATAAGAAATATGTGCGACTTCATCTTTTTGATGTACTATGTAATCGATCATGATTGCGACGAGTGTTATCTTCAGTTGCTATTTTATGGCTTATAGTTTAATGAATTTACAAATTGAATGGTAAACAGCACAAGGTATATTGCATATTAACAATAAAGAATGGCGAGTTTACAGGATTAAAAATAATAATAAATTAGAAGTAACGGGTGAGTGACTGTGTAAAGTGAAGCCCAGATAGCGCTAGAGGTTAAAATTCGTCGTAAAATTACCATGTTACTACCGACTGAACAAAAAAAAAAACGCACGATCAGCAATTATTATTCTTGTAGTGTCTTAAATGTACTTGTAGTGTCTTTCAATCTAACTTTCAACGAAGCCAACAACAAATGAATTCAGAAGAATCCGCAAGCTTGCTAGGATGTGATACTCATGAAATAACAAACGGTGCTATTTTACGCAAATATAACCAAATAAGGGTTCACATTCAAATCATGGCTTTATTTATGCTGTGATATTAATTTAGTTACATTTGATTTAGGTTCACGACCTGTTAGACTCTTATGAATGGTAAAGTTGAGCGTGAAATTAAGCACAAATCACACTGTTAAAACTTCCTATAATATGAAGCCTGTTTACACATCGCCTCGTAAGCATAACATAAGCGGAGGGATACACCGGAAGTTTTCCAAATTTCTTTCGGTTTTAGGAAGCTTGTTATTGTTTACATTTCAGTGAACCTTCCATGCCTCGGAAATCTTGTTACGAATTTTAATCACTAGCAGCACTGTTCTTAGCTTTATGCAGAGCCGGATTATACCTTTCGTAGGCCCTAGGCATAGCCGTTTTTGGGCCCTCCCCTCTTGCCCCCACTCCTCCCCTCTTTTCAAAATATATGCTAAAATTTTCTTGCATATTTTTTTGTTGCATTTTTATTAATATGGATTTTAATTTACGAATTTGTTTATTGAACTTTATCTGCAATACCGACATACTGCCGATATTGCAGTTGATATCGATAATACCATTATGATTAGTTCGATCGATAACTATGCAAACACTTCACGTCAACAATACAACAACAAACCAGCAAAGAAAACAGTGAAATTGATAGTGAGATTAATTACAAGAAATATTTATACAGTAGAGAACCAATTATATGGGATGCTCGGGACCATCGCTATCCCGGATGTCTGAATTTCCCAGTTTTCTGGATCGACCAAAAAGTGTCATTAATCGATGTTTTATCGAACCCGAATTACAAGGAAATTACACAAAAATTTGTCAGAATCTGAAATTAAACTAAAAGCGCAAAATTTGGTGAAAATTTACTCATCCGTTTTAGAGAAAAACTTTGTAGATGAATTTTTACTATTTTCAAATTTATATGAACATAAATCTGCACAAGAAATGTTGAAGGCTCACATTAAAGATAAACTTGTGAATACTTTTCCTAACGTTCACATTGCATTAAGAATATATTTGTCGATTCTTGGATCAAATGCAGAAGGAGAAAGATCTTTCTCCAGATTAAAATTGATAAAAAATTATTTGCGTTCAGCAATGATCGTTTGGCATCGCTCGCACTTATGTCTATTAAATACGACATTTTGCGTAGTTTTGGAATTCGACAGCATAATACAAGATTTCGTTGAATCCAAAAATCGCAAAAAAGTAATATATTAGATCATAAGATTCTGCAAAATAATTTATTACCGAAAAATATTATATTTTTATTTGTATCTTCATAATTTTGTGCAAAATACACTTGCTGTTTTTAAAGCTAAATTATTTTAGTCAACAAATTTTTTTCTCCCAAGTTTTTCGTAGGCCCCTGAATTTCGGAAGGCCCTAGGCACGTGCCTAGTGTGCCTATAGGTTAATCCGGCCCTGGCTTTATGCGAATCTCTATTCATTCCCAGATTGATAACTAAGGTTTATTTTCACTCACCAAAAACCTTTCAATGTAAACTCAAAAAGTTTGTGATGTGATACTCACGTGTAAAACTTCTAACCTTTAAACGAGATATCTGACAATCTGCTCTATTCTACGCTCATAACCCTAATCCCATACCTTGGAAAACATCTACATAAAAACCTTAAATCGATGTTGTCTTAGGGTTTTCAAGCGTGAACAAATCCTTTAGAGTCTTAAGATGAAAATAATCTTAAATCTAAGTAATTATAAGGTTTCATATGCTCGGCTAAAATCAACCCCTTTGTCATAAATGGCAATTGGATACTATCGCTATAGTGTGAAGTCAGCTAAAACGTCATGCTGAACCTAAGTGAGCATTTTACTCTGAGTGACAATACTTTTGAAAAAAAAAAACTTTGAAAAATAATTTTGAATCCTTTTAAGACGAAAAGATTTTTTTTAACTCCGAAATTTACAGAAGTAAGATTTTGATAGCGACTTAACCTTTTTCAGATAGCAATGATATTTAATAAAATCTTTTTCCTTATCAGGTGGATACAACCGATCTGGAGGAACACATTGAAAGGGAAAAGAAACGAGAACGAAGAACATTCCTTTCATCCCGTCATCAGTCGTGGTACGGTACAGGATCCTACAACAGATACCTCTCACCGATGCCCTGGAGGGGAAGTTATCCATCCTCTCATCGACCCTTCGGAGAACATACAGAGAATCTCAAATCGGACTCTCCACGCGAGACCACTCCTGATTTGAGAAAATCGGCTCTCAACACGGATTCGCCTCAGGATCTCTTCGCCGAACAAAGATGGCGGCGATCTCTGGAAGATCCGAGTTACGCATCTGAAGACGGATCCCCTAGCGAGACTGGATACGACTCCTCCTTCACGGATGCCGAGAGATCCAGTTGCGAGACAGACGGTTTTTTCACAGATTCCATGGACAGATCTTACAATTTAAGCGAAGACTGCAGAGGATCGTCTCCCAGAAGCACCCCCTTCGATGTTGAGCGGTATTTTCTGGACATAACAGACGAACCGGACACACTTTTCCCCGATCACAATTCGCGATATTTCGTAGAAGGAGGTCCGACCACCGATCTCTTTCCTCACGTCGATAGTGACGCGTCGGCTCGTCGAGAATTCCCAGTGGACGACCTCTGTTTCAAGTTCCGATCGCTCAACGAGCACTCCTCTCAGCGTGACTCTGGTTTCGCCGAAATATGCCATCAGGACGATACTGTGGAGATGGAATCGAGTCGTGAGACTGCAATGACGGGTCCCTGCAACGATATTGACGAAATCCTTGCAGATGCAGATCTAGAATCCGGGGCCTTTCGAACGTTCGAAGATTTCGAGAGAAATCTCCGACGACACGAATCCAATGTCAGAAACAGTGACATTTACGGAGAGCATTGCCACGCTCAAAATGGGACAACGCCAGGACTTCGCTTGGATGTGGAAGCTTATGGCCAATACATAAGCTCTTGTCAGGATATCGATGAAGCTCTGGGGACACCAACGCCTCTTAGTCCCGAATTCGAGAACATTGCGATCCAACCTTCGAACATGAGCCATGATTTCAACGTGTGGTCCAATGATGATGTGGATCATCCTCAACATGATTATTGTAGTAAACCTAACAGATTCGATGGGGTAAGTCAACACAATTCTATTTTAACCCTCTATATGGATGAGTGATCGTGTAAAGCAAGGGGTGGTGGCGCTAGTGGTTAAATTGCTCCCGCAAGACTTCCGGGTTACTGCTTCCGATATATTTTTACGCCTCAGATTGAAAAAACGCGCCATCATATTATTGCATCATATCTTTTGCAGTATTTCACATGTACCGAGTTCTTTCTTTCAGCCTTTAAACTTCAGCATTATCATATTAATATTATAATCATTAGAATATGTTCTAATTAGGCTAACTTGAAAAGATATTTTTGGCGCATTTTATTCAAATGTAGCCAAATAAGGGATAAAATACAAAACATGGCAAACCTTAAGAATTATTCACAATGAGATATTATCTTTCAAAAAATTTTTTTTGGCCTTACGACCTCTGAGAATCAATACATTTCTGAAAGCTCTTATGAATGGTACAATTATGTTTAGATTTGAACCCAAATTACAGTAACAAAACTGCGTAGAATATTAGGCTCGTTCACACATCGCCTCGTAGTCATAACATAAGCGGAGGGATACACCGGAAATTTTCTAAATTTCTTCCGGTTTAAGGACGCTTGTTATTGTTTACATTAGGCCACCCATCCATAAGTGGTTACATATTGCGTCCAATACCACGCAAGTGATGGCTAAAATCATTTTATTACTTTTACTTTTGGCATATTTGAAATAGATTGTAATTTTTTTTTTTATAATCGACTATTGTAATTAATAATTATAATTTAAACTGAGTTCAGGAAGTTAAGCTTGAGATACTTCCGGGGATCGTTAAGTGTTAAAATACCTGCCAACACTCGACGTGCAGGAGACATGAATTACATAAAATAACTCAGTTCATTTTTTTTTTTTTTAACAGGAATGAAGTTTTATAAAAATATCTATCGGATCATGAAGGAATTGGAAAAAAATTACCCGTTTTTTTTTTTTAATGTGTCATATGAGCAATATAGCATACGACACCAGAATAGTTAAAACAATATACTGAAAAATGTGTTAAAAAATTCATTTGTTTTTCCTGATGTAAGCTTGTTATAGGCATGAATTTTTCATCTTTTAATATATATATATANAACATGTTAAAGATAAAAGCAAAAAATGAAATTCGATTTATCACTCTTGTATTTTTTTCATTAAATTTCTATCTATGCTTTAGGGTAAACCATAATAATCTACAATATAATAGTCAATAAAAATAGACATTATCTTTTCGTGAATAAATTTGACAACAAATACAGGGTTATTCATAATTCCCTCCGGGGTTTCGAAGCTTTATAGTAAAAAAACGAAGACGAAAATGGCAAATAAGAACATATGTGATTATTCCGAAAGTATTCAAGTTTTTAATTTAAGCAGTCGTTGCCGTTAGATGTCAGTAACATGTACCACTGAAGCCAGTTGTTGTAAATAAAAATGGCGTTTACAGTCGGAAGGAGTTATGAATAACCCTGTATATATATATATATATATAGTACAAAAAGAAAAGAGAGAAAAACGAAGACAGTAAAGAAAATTATAAGTTTTATTTACTGTGCTTAAACTGCTAGTATATAGATCTCATGAAATGAGTTAAAAAATATAGAGAAAACATGGAAAATAGTAAAGATTGATGAAAAGGGAAGAAAAAAAATTATTAAAAAAAATTCGCGATCGCAACACTCGAATACGCCATCTGGGGAGAGACCGGTTTCATGCTTTCAGCCCTTCTCCCTTCCCTCTCCTCCTCTTTTCAGTTGTATAGGAATGTACTACGATATTTTCCCTTTTCTTAATATTTTTCCTTTTTATTTAATCAAAATATTTTTTAAAATTTCCATGATACTTTTCTTTAGAACTATGTTTAATGCAGTTTTCAGTTTCATATAGTGTTTCAAGTTGAAAGATTTTAATCTATATGAAAATCAAGAGAGAAACTAACGTACTTCCTTCCTCTATGACTTTCCACACGCTAATGGGGAAAGCATGTGAAGTGTTGCCATAGGAAAAGAGTTCTGCTCTACGCCACCTGCAGCCCATTTCGATCGCCAATAATAAATATTAAAAATCGGCAAAACAAAATAATGAAAAGATATAATATCTTCATCAGCTCCCACGATTATATCCGTAAATACGGCTTTTTAATATAAATGTATAGATATTTTTTAAATATATTTTCTTTAAAGAAATATGTATAAAAATATTTTATTTTAATAATTTTTCTTCTTCTCTTTTCAAAAGCCGTATTTGCGGATATATTCGTGGGAGCTGATGAAGAGATTATATCTTTTCATTATTTTGTTTTGCCGATTTTTAATATTTATTTTTTTTTAATAATTTTTCTTAATAATTTTTTAAAAAAATATTTTTAAAAAACTATAAGGAAAATATATTAAAAAAAATTTCTTATATAATTCTCTTAATAATTTTTTAAGTAAAGGTTTCGAAAGCATAGTCTTGTTTCATAAAATAAAAGTTTCTAAAGAATTAGGCATTCTGAGACAATTTTTTTAAAAATTCTATTTGCTGCATAAATTTTTTAGATGTATTTTATTTTCCTCCCATCATATTGTTGATTTCAAATAAATAAATAAAATCGTATCTATTTTGCGTTTCTGACAATGCTTCCTAAAAAACTGAAAAAATGAGAGTTAATTTAAATAAAAGACTAACATAGTCCGGGTAAAAGGGCTGAATTTGCTTCCTGTTTTGAACAAGAATGCTTCAATTGTATTGAAAAAAACGAAGATTTAAATAGTGATTACTCATAAAATGTAAGTAGTGTGTAACACAGCAATTGACCCAATGAATAAAGTTCACAAAGTGACAGAATAATGCAGTTCCTTGAGAAAATTTTCATGATTTTTTAAACTTAAATGTGTGTAACAGCTGCTTTGTGGACGCTGGAGAGAAGTATACAACGAGGGATGATGACTGAAGAAAAGTTAAATTGCGTTTTACTTACAATACGTCCCAGCAGATGTCGCCACCACAATATACCTAAAAAGTTTTGAAAACAAATAACCCAAAACCAAGTAATTACGATATGATTAAACATGTTAGCTTTATTATTAATTAATTAATTATTTTATTTTATTTTTTATTTTTGTTTATTAAAGGTTATTTAATAATACCTTTATTATTAATTAACTTTTATTTTTTGCACCGCGTTCGTACAATATGCTTTAATTGTTATCCATGATGTTGAAAATTTTTTCATTCTAACATTCTAAAAAAAATACTAAATCTTTAGTTCTCGAAAATGTTATTTTGGTGGGAATAATTTATTTTGTTATTTGAGGTCGACTCCATGTCATGTCATTAATTACTTAATCTTTTGAAATAACATTTTTTTAAAAATTAAATCTTGGGTTAAAAAAGAAACACTTGTTTTTTAGGTCCTGAACTGTTTTTAAAAATATAGTAGAATAAAAAAAGTTTTTCAGATTAAACGAAGATTGATCTTTTTGAAAAGCGGAATGAGTCGCCATTTAATTTTTATTAAAATTTAATTTTATATTTTTAACATAATCATCTAAAAGGGGGAGGGTTCGAGGGTGTGAGGTATACGTCTTCCTTAAACTGTTCTATCGTAAAGTGCTTAACTTTCAGATCCTCAGGGATGTGTCCCAGACCGTCGCCAATAGCCCATTGTGCACTTTTACAGACATGAAAGCTGAATATATTTCCCCTATCTTTGCCTATTCGCGCCAACTTCTATCGCCAAAGCGACACATTTTAGTCTATTCATTTTCAATTATTTAATGTATCATTCTTGAATATGACTAAATAAAGGCAATTGAACGGTAGATTTATTGAATTTCTTAAGAAATTAAAAAATTTGTTGTTCTTTAATGTTTTGCACACATTTGTATAATAAAAGCAAATGATTTCATTCCATAACTGAAAATAACGTAATTAAATTTTTTAATGCTTCTAATCTAACACATCAAATACTAAACATATACTCATTTCAATAATTACATTCTGATAAAAATACAAAAACTCAAACAAAATCTAGTTTTTAAAATTCTGTATATAATTAATAATTTGAAAATAGTTATTCTTTATGAAATAATGCTTTTCTTTTCTGATATGACGTCACATCTGATTTTTTTGAATTTAGGTAGTTTTATAATAATTTTAGCTATTGGTCATTTTTATTTTTTTTTTTATTTTCTGCAGATTGTTCCGGATTTTTCCACTTTCTGTGGAAGAAATAAACTCCTTCCGGACAAAATGTCAACCCTGTTCTTAGTCAACAATAAAATGTGGAAAAAAAAAATTTTTTTTCCATCCAAACTTAAATCACCTATCAGACTAACTATTACTTCTAATTAGAACGCTTTTGACCGATGTTCTCTTATTCATGCAATGCTTTTTAACTAAAACAAAGTTAAATCTCATCTGCATGTGAAAAGTTTTTCTTCCTAGAAGTCTGAAGTCAGAATAATAATAAAATAAAAAAAATCGTGATATATTAAAATGAGTATGCACGATCGCAGGAATCGTGGTAATAAATCGTTTTCTCTGTGCGATTACCTTTTTCCGATTGTTTTGGTCCAACACATTAGAACAGTACTGAATCTTATTCATTGTACTCAGAAATTCAACCGACTTCCCTGATCAACATTTACGACTAGTTCAATTTTTCTCTCAAATAATTGCTTTGATTTGTCAAAAACGCGGAACAGTTCAGTTCAGACGAATATATGCTAATGTTTATTTTAGATTGAACTTATATATAATCTATAATAATAAAATGAAAAGTTCGTCTGCGTGTGGATGTCAGTCTCTCTCTTATAAAATAACCGTTTGTTCTACTATCCTGAAATTTAGACAGACGCTACAAGATTATCCTGAAACTCTTATGTCATTTGCTAGAAGTATCTTCGGTAGAGCAGCATGAAAAATGGAATTTTATTATTGACTTAGAACTCGCCATAGATAAAAATAAAGACTGCAGACGATTTTCTTTCTTTCCAATATTTTAAGGATTACATCAGTGATATTTGCTAGCTTATAGCTCTCAATTAAAAAAAAAGAAGAAGAAAAAAAACCCGAATTTTCTGGAGGTTCTTTAATATTTAATTA